ACACTAACTCAGCTTAGAAGGAACACTGGTCGCCAGTGGAGCAGCCGTGTTGGTCTGAAGCAACAGAACAAAGTCTGAGTCCAGTGGCACTGTTGAGTCCAACAGAGTTTAATTCTGGGTATAAGCTTGCTTGTGCAAGCCCGCTTCCTCAGATACCAGAACCTGAAGACGTGTGCACGCACATGAAAGCTTACACCCAGAATTAAAGGTGCCACTGGACTCAAACTTGGTCCTAGACAGGTAGCGTTCAACATGCACCATGTATATTGCAGTCCTTAAAAGACCTCTGGAAGGTTGGCCATGGCCAGTATTTGTCTGGCACTGCGGTGGGGGGGGGGGGCGAGGTAAGAGTGGCTCTCCTAAGGTTCCATTGGGGCAGAAGCAAAACCAAGAACTCCCAGATTCATTGCTCCAAAGGAGTAGCTTTCCTAGTCAGGAATTGTGTGGCACCTTAAAGACTTACAATTGTGGGTTGTTTTTCTTATTCCATAACAGGTATTGATGGACTAGAGTCATCTACTTCACATACAAGATCCTGCATGGTTCAAGAGACTGAGGATTCTCACTCAGTATCTTGAATAAGTGGGTGCTAGTCCACCAAAGCTTATACTGGATTTTTATGTTAAGAACATAAGAAAATCCTTGCTGGATCATAAGAACATAAGAGACGCCAATGTTGGATCAGGCCAAAGGCCCATCCAGTCAAACACTCTGTGTCACACAGTGGCCAGAAATACCAGGTGCCATCAGGAGGTCCACCAGTGGGGCCAGGACATTAGAAGCCGCCCCCAAGCACCAAGAAGACAGAGCATCACTTGCCCCAGAGCCCCTATGTATACCTTGTGGCTAATAGCCACTGATGGACCTCTGCTGAGTTAGTGTGAGCCGGCTCACAGTTTTTTAGCCTCCAGCACACACATTTTTGTCTTAGCTCAGGAAGGATGGCTCCAGAGTAAACTGATTTATGCAGGAGCCAAACCGCTCGCTCACAACTTTAATGCCAGTAGCTCACAAAGTAGAATTTTTGCTCACAAGACTCCACAGCTTAGAGGGAGCATTGGATTGGTATTCGGAGGCCGACTGCTTCTGAACGTGGAAGTTCCCTTCAGCCCCCATGGTTGATAGCCATTGACTGACCTCTCCTCCATGAATCTGCCAAATCCCTTTTAAAACTGTCTATGCCTGTGGCCATCCCTACATTCTCTGGCATTGAATTCCACATTTAATAACATAAGAGAAGCAAATGTTGGATCAGCCAATGTCACACAGTGGCCAAAAACACCAGGTGCCATCAGGAGGTCCAGCAGTGGGGCCAGGACACTAGAAACCCTCCCACTGTTGCCCCCCCAGCACCAAGAATATAGTGCATCACTTGCCCCAGCCTGAGAGTTCCTATCTATACCTGGTGGCTAATAGCCACTGATGGACTTCTGCTCCATATGCTTATCCAATTCCCTCTTGAAGTCATCCATGCTTGTAGCCGCCACCACTTCCTGTGGCAGTGAATTCCATCTGTTAATCACTCTTTGGGTGAAGAAGAACTTCCTTTTATCCATTCTAACCCGACGGCTCAGCAATTTCATGGAGTGCCCATGAGTTCTTGTATTGTGAGAAAGGGAGAAAAGTACCTATCCATCTACAGCCTTGACCTGGATAACCCAATCTCATTGGCAGCTAAGCAGGGTTGGCCCTAGTTAGTGTTTAGATAGGAGACTGTGACGGTATGGGCCTGCGTCAGCTGGCGGGCCCCGCTTTGCCTTACAAGGCTCTTGTACAGATTTCAGAAATACAACAGCCCTCTTCATCTGCTCATTCACAGAACAGGCAGAGAGGGTGGCAACATCACACCCGGTGGCCCTGTGCACACAGGTAATCCCCTCCACACCAATGCAATGAAAACCATACAAGCCGATAGACTGCATGCGCTCACAGGGAGAAAGGTGTATGCAGGCAGGATAGATTAATACACACACCTGTTTCTTTTGCACAAAATAGCTCATGAGATTCATGGCATCCTGGATCCATCATTTTGTACTGTGTGTGTGCTTAAGGTAACTGGTTATTTTTGGCAAACGTTAGCATCATGACTGCAGCTAACTTCTCTATTTTAAACCTAGTCAAAAATGGAAGAGGGGAGGAGTGTGACTCAGCACCAAGGACAGCTCAGATGTGCAGTTTTGCAAATGGAGGGGGTAGGTGCTCTGCAGACTGCTGTCTATGGTTCTGAAATCTATATTGGGAACTGCTAGTACCGATGTTAATTATATTCCATTGGGAAGAGCTTAACCGCTGGTAACTTTTGCCAACCTAGCAGTTCGAAAGCAAGAAATTGCAAGTAGATAAATAGGTACCACTTCGGTGGGAAGGTAACAGCGTTCCGTGCGCCTTGGTGTTTAGTCATGCCGGCCACATGACCATGGAAATGTCTTCGGACAGCGCTGGCTCTTCGCCTTTGAAACGGAGATGAGCACCGCAACCCTAGAGTCGGATTCGACTGGCTTTCGAGCAAGGGAACCTTTACCTTTTATCCATCTACAAGGAGCTGCGGTGGCTCAAGTGGTTAAGACGCTGAATTGCAGGCTGTGGAAGGTCAGTAGTTCAGCAGTTCGAGACCTGGGTTGCCGCATGACGGAGTGAGCTCCCATCTCTAGTTCCAGCTCCTGCCAACCTAGCAGTTCGAAAGCAAGAAATTGCAAATAGATAAATAAGGTAACAGCATTCCGTGCGCCTTGGTGTTTAGTCATGCCGGCCACATCACCACGGAAACATCTTTGGACAGCACTGGCTCTTCGGCTTTGAAACGGAGATGAGCACCGCAACCCTAGAGTCGGACTCAACTGGCTTTCAAGCAAGGGAACCTTTACCTTTACCTATCCATCTACAGCCTTGACCTGGATAATCCAATCTCATTGGAAGCTCAACAGGGTTGGCCCTAGTTAGTGTTTAGATAGGAGACTGTGACGGTACGGGCCTGCGTCAGCTGGCGGGCCCCACTCTGCCTACCCCTCCTTTGCCAGACCTGGCACCCAAAGGGGCAGTTTTTCTTCACTGCCTCCGGCTACTGCTGCCACTCAGTATTGTCTACTCAGACTGGCAGCAGCTCTCCAGGGTTTTATGTACAGGTCTTTCATACCATCTCCTGCCTGGTCCTTTTTAACTGGAGACACTGGGGATTGAACCCGTGACCTTCTGCATGCCAAGCATGCAGTCAGTCTATCTCGCTGCATAAATGACTCGATCGAATTGAGCCGATTGAGAATACCACCAGGACCAATACGTACCTAAGTAGTGGTACGGCTGGTTTTAGGAATCTCCGCTCTGCGCTTTAATTGTTTCCGGCACTTTCGAAAATGGTTTCTGATTGTTCTTGGATATTTTATGTATGTTTTTAAATTGCATTTATATATGCATTTTATGTAAGCTGCCCTGAGCCCACCTTGGTGGGAAGGACTGGGTATAAATCAAATAAACAAATAAAGAAAGAAAGAAAGCAGATGCTCTGCGACTGAGCCATGGCCCTTCTGGCATCCTCTGTATGTAATAGAAGGTAGATTACTTCCTCATTTTATATCAAGCTGCTTAATTGTCATGTCTGACCATTTGTCTGTTTAACTCACTGACTGGTGGTGGCTCTCCAGGATCACGGGCTGAGGGGGTGGGATTATCCCTGCCACCTGAGAATCAATAATGAGAGAGGCAGTGTGACATAGTGGTTAAAGAGCGAGGGGAGGATCCAGGTTCCGATCCCTACTTTGGATGACTTTGGGGCTCTGTCTGCCTAACCTACCTCACTGGGTTGTTGTGAGGATAAAATGGAGGATAGGATACCAGGCATTGAACCTAGAACTTCCTGTGTGCAAAGCAAGCGCACTGCCCCCGAGCCACACCCCTCTCTTTATTAAAAGGACATCGTTGGATGGCGTGCTGCGTTGATAAGAGAAACGAAAGGGATTTTGATTCAAGACATTCATCAGTTTTAATGCCAGCATGTTGCAGTAAACTAATGTGCATTAACATCGGCATGTTTATTTGGGTCCCTGGGCTTTTGGAGATTCAGATTTATCTCACCGAGCCCAACGTGTCTCTCGCTAAAACAGAAACTGAAGCCACTGGTTACAGGTACTGAAATATGTCCTCTCTCTCAATGGCTGGGTGTGCTCCAAGGTTTCATTCCCACTGCTGAGAACTTGATTAAACACTGGCAGAAGGCTGCGTCTCTTCTCCTAAGAATGAAAGAAAGGTGCGACC